GGATCATCCGGCCTCACCTGCAAGCGGGGCGGCAGCCTCGCCACCCTCAGCCGCGGCGAGCCCTGCAGGCCAGCGAACAGCTGCTCCTCTCTGCGGCCGAAGAAGGATGAAACGAGAGAAAGCCATACCCGCCGGGAGATTTTGAATGCAAACAGCACGGCGGGCAGCCCGCCCCCCCGCCCTGTCAGAGGGCGGCGGAGGAGTGAGCCTTTTCGTCTGCCCGCTGCTCTGCCGCAGAAAGTCGGGATAAGTCGGGACAAAACCAGAGCACGTAAGCTCTCCGTCCCCGCTGCCGGTTAAGCGGAGTGGGAACGTTACTTCTTCCGTTACTTTTTCCGTTAGGGCGCGCACGGGCTTGCTTGTGCGGAGAGCTCGTGGCCCCCACGCTCTTGGTTCAAGCTGTGCCGCCACGCTGGGCCGGGCTGCGGACGTTCAGACGGAGCTGTTACAGTTACAAGACAATTTTGGCCGATAGGGGTGGGTATTTGTTTTAGCAGTAGAGCTAAAAGAGCACTTTAACCGATAAAGGTAATTAAAGTGGGTTGATGATTATGTAGTTAGAATAGGTATTTGTTTAAACTATAGAATGAGGAAAGATTGCAAGATACGTTTGTATAAGCACTAGAGAAGGCCCATACCATGTTCAAGAGAAGAATTAGACAATAGAATGAGGGATAATAGCTGTGGTCAGACCACCGTGGGAATGGACCAAAACTTCTGTGGGAATACTTTCGTGGGAATGGACCGAAACTTTTTTTTCTTTTACAGAATTACAGGGGTAATCCAATGTGTTTTGTGGCGTGATAGTGGGGAACCAGTCAAGGTGAGGGGCAGAGTAAAAGGTGATCATCTCATGCATGCTCGCATTATTTTGCTTTGTTAAAAATGTATAAATAGGCTGTGAAAATGTATGGGCGCCAGAGCACAATTAGAGGAGCTAGCCTCTGTGCATCCCCAGCACTGAGAATAAAGAAGTGCCTGCTTATCTGCAACTGCATAGATAAGTTTTTCTCCTTATGATTGCAACCCCATCAACAGAGCTGGCTGCTCTCATGAGAAAAAGGACTGCGAAATGCCGCCTTCACAGTCTGGCTGGAAGCGCCTAACTTTGAGGACGTGCTCGTGAGGTGCCAGCATTCTCTAATATGTCTTCTGTGCTCCCTGCATGACAAATTCCACAGTTTGAGAGGCCTAACTTGCTCTTACTGAGTTTACTGTGTTACTTTACTAAGTTCCCATGCAGCCCTATTTTAACAGTGGAAATCTTTGCCAGATGATACTGCAGATAACAATTATTCGTGTTTCCAAAAGTGATAGGACAAGTTTATGGAAGTAAAAAAAAAAGCAAGAGCTATTAACAAGACAACACCTTTTGCTCAAGAAGGTCCTGAACTGCAAATAGGTGGAGAAGGGGAATTACACTGAGAAAGTCTGGCGCCTCCTGGTGCAGCTCTTCCACCTCTTCCCCAGGCATCCAGTAGCAGTAGGGGCTGCTATTTTTTTTTCCTCAGGAAGGGCACAAACACAGTCTCACCCACCCTCCCTGCCTTGCAATGATATAGAGGCATTTATTGCTTTTGGGAAAATAGCAGGGGTCAGTCCACCTCAGGGCTAGGGACCAGCCTTACTTCAGGAAAGACACTCTTCATCAGGTTATCACAGAATCACAGAACATTAGGGATTGGAAGGGACCTCAAAAGATCATCCAGTCCAATCCCCCTGCCGGAGGGGGGGGTTACACAGGAAGGCGTCCAGGCGGGTT